GCTCAGCCAGGAAACCAGTAGGTAAAAATACGTTTCTTTATCTTTGCTGAGCAGACGGAGGGGCCCTTTCTTACTTCTAGAGGAGAGGAAAGGGAAGAAGTGAGTGTGAAGGGTAGCGTGGTGAGGAGGGTCGTGAAGATTGTGGTTACCAGAAGGATGAAAATTTCTTAGTAGAGGGTGAGACCAAATTGTACCTGCGATGATAAGGGTTGCCCCGGAACGTTCGCTGTTTTGCTTCCAGTGGAGTCCCGGGGGTTCCAGTTCGTTGGTTGCATTGCTCTTTGATTCATCATCGCTTCCGTTTTCAAACCACATAAAAAGCTATTATGTGGGTCCTGCAGACTTAATATAGCTTCACAAAAATGCATTAGTTGGCGAACAAAAAAAACATGTTGATAAAGAAGCACTGACCAGGAGACCACTGTGGTTATGTGTTTTTGCGATAAGCTGGTAATTAGCTCGTTGCTCGTGAGGTGCGTTAAAAGCTGCCGCGACATTTGTTTGGCTTACGTCTAGGATCGTGATGTGGATTCTAGTCGTAAGCAAAGCTGTTGTACCAAATACTATGAATTTATTAAAACAGTACAAACGACGAAAACTTACGTAGCTTCTGTCCCAATTTCTGTCGCAGTTATCGTGATAACCATTGAATTGACTATTGGCATTATCAGTATTGATAAACGGGTTGGGATGGTTCAGACCGGCGTTTGCTTGCATGGGCACTCGATTGCTATACATCAGGCACTCGCAATTTGTAGCACCGGTGGTATCACTGCCTTTTGCTCTCCAGTCAGGAGGCATCGGTTCTCTTGATGTTAGTGGTAATGGTGGTTGATGATTTTCTTGAAGTCGTGGGTTAAAAGCTGTCTGTACTAACCACGGGTTTTCTTGCGATTCCTGAACTGAATGAGCTGGTTGCATGAGAGCGTCGGATTTGATATTCTTCGACGATAGTAGTCCCCGCACTGGAGGATTTTGCGAGTGACTGCTGTCTCGTTGTCCATCTCTAGAGTGGATCGCGTATGCACAAGGAAGTACTGGAGTATGTTCTGCCGAGAGTCCTTTGAGAGCAGTTGCACGGAAATCAGGATTCTCCGTTTGTTGATGAGCAAATAGGAATTCGGTGTGAACCGGTGGCTGTTCATTCGAGAGCGACTGCATTCGATGATCCATAAGGTTCCTACTGTTAGGAACATTTTGTTCATAAAAATTTGCTGGATTATTAGATTTTGAGTATTCGAAACGATTTTCCCAGTGACCGAAATGGCCTGAGGCACGACGTTGATTCTGCATATCTAGTGCCCTTGCTGCATAGTACAAATCACGCGCTGTGTCCTGCAATAAAAATAAATATTGTTCTTGCGACCAAATGTAATTCTGATAGAAAATAAGGCCACACGAGCGTCTTCGAACTGAAGGGACGCATGCACTAACAGGCAGTGGGCACTAACTGGAGATAAGTAAGTCAGGATCAGAGGACCTGACATAGATGCGCAAAGGGTGAGAGAGCAAATACTCAATTGAGGTTCACATTAATAATCCGGGAGGTCTTGGTGTACTTGATACTATGTATTGGAAAAGTATCGCCAATTATGGAAGGGAATGCGCATTGTTTGTGGTAACTATTGTAGATACTCCTAGTATTTTCTGGAGTCTGCGGATAACACTCTTAGGCAAGCAGTGTAATAGATAATAGTCACGATTCAAAGAGTTCAGAGACAGTGAACATGTTTACCGGCCTTCTCAACACTCCCTAGCGGGGCGATGCTAGGCCTTGAGAGCGAGTGGTTGCTGCAACAAACTGATTTAGTCACAGATAGTCACACGTACTTTGACTTCTCACTGAAGTGAAATTCATTTATAGGCTTTTCTTCGCATTTCCTAAGCAAAGTTATCGGTGAAAGGGGTAAGAGAGCAAACCCGAGCAGGCCGTATCCTGTGCTCATCAGCACTTCTCGAGTCAGAGGGGAAAAAGGTAAATTATTAGGAAAGAGAAGTACATATAACAAAGAGTGACATTAATACTCTTGATACACTCAGGCATTTCCGGATTTGAGAGAAAATTTGCATAAAGACTACTAATTGATATTGAAACTTACATAAGTTCTGGTGCTTTTACAACTACTGTCCTTGTTGTCACTAGGATTCCTACTATCACTCGGTTATCATAATCGGTGCTGGCGTGAAATTCAGGGTTAATCAATGGTGGGCATCCGCATCTGTTTTTATGAGTTTTTGCTGTGCAGCGCTACAGCGCTGCTACAGCCAGCAAAAACGTGTCGAGAAGCTGTGTGTCTGTGTTCAGAAGCGAGTGCATTTTGTCACCCATTTTCATTTCAGCAACCAGGAAGGCTGGGAGGCTGAAAATTTGGATATATGCTCCTACCCCGTGCGTCAACCTCCTGTTTCAAGATTTTCCCTCATACGCGCCTAGACTCCACGTACGACCTCCGAAAAAAAATATGCAAATTTCGTTGGCGGGAAACGACTTCGCGAACTAGACAAGATAAAAAGTTAAAACTTTGCAGCGACATTCTCTGTGCATGTGCGAGCTAAAGATTTCAAATTCATGTGTCGGGCACTCTTGTGCAGCGCGTACGATCACGTCAAAGTTTGCAAATTGGTAGTTTGCTAACTTGAAAACTTGCCGGAAAACAATATCTGAAATTTTCTCAACATTTTTATCGCCCATATAGAAAATCGTATACCTACAATGAAACTCTCGGAAACCACGAAAGCTAGGAGAATGAAAATTTAGGGAAATGTTTTTAACCCGCATGTGACGTCGCAAATTTAAATTCAGCCTCCCGCACTCGCGGGTAACATGCACGGCCCTGTAACAGCTTTTGCAGGGAAAATTATTATCTTGGAAACCACGGAAGTTAGGAAGCCGAAATTTTGCACGTATGCCCCTGCACACATGCGACCCAAAAAAATTGAAATTTAGCCTTTCCGTGCCTGCGGATAACATATAGAGACTCGTGAAACTTTTGGCGGGTAAATGATTATCTCAGGAGCCACGAAATCTAAGAGGCTTGAATTTTATGGATATATTCCCTGCCCACATACGACCTCTCAAATTTAGATTCAGCCTTCTCGCGTCCGAGGTTAACACTTGTGAAAATTTTGGTGGGTAAATTATCTCGGGAACCACGGGATCTAAGAATTTGAATTTTCAGGGCAACGATCCCCTGCCCACGTATGACTTTGCAAATTCAGTCTTCCCGTGCCTGCAGGCATCACGTGCGGCCCCGTGAAACTTTAGGCGGATAAATCATTATCTTGGGAACCACAAAAGCCAGAAAGCTGAATTTTTATGGTAATGCCCCACGCACATTCTCGTAGATTCAAATTTAGCCTTGCCGTACTTTCGAGGTCATTTACGGCCCCGTGAAAGTTTCGGTGGGGAAAATTATTATCTCGAGAACAGCGGAAATTGGGAATCAGAAATTTTAGGGTGATGTTGTCTAATTACATACGACTGCGCAAATTTGAATCCAGCCTCAGCCTTCACGCAACTCTAGCTATCACACACAGCCCCGTGAATATTTTGGTAGGGGAATTATTATCTCGTGAACAGAAAAAGCTAGAAAGCTAAAATTTTAGTGTGGCATCCTTTGCCCACTTAAGACTTCGTAAATTTTCAAAGTTCTCGTGGAAGTTTTGGCGGCTGAAAATTTCAGGAAGATGTTTCCTGTTTACAAAGGGCTTCACAAACGAATTCATTTCCTAAGCATGCCGAGTTTTCAAGTACAAGAACGTGAATGCTTTGTCGTAAAAATCACTCGAAAGCCGGAAAATCAGGAATCTGAAATTGTGGAAGGACATTCATTTTTTCGAAATTTAAAATTCAGCTTTCACGCACCGGCGTGGAATTTTTAGTGGGTTCTGCAATTTTTGGAAGCAGACAATATTTTGACTATTTTTGCACACACCAAAGTGCAAAGCCGTGAAAATCATTAGCGGGCAGTTGTTCGGTGGACGGAATTGCATAAAACGCATGATCGCACCGACTGCCCTGGTGCGCGCCGCTATTTATTTTAACATCACTATTTACAAATATCAATCGGTTTAGTAAGCACTGTTAAATGCGAATACACAGGACTTGATCGATCGAAGCACTCCTGCCCATCTGATTATTTTTAACATATTTTTTTAAGGTCTTTTTGTTTTATAAATTACTATTAATTTCTTTACTATCTTTATAATGCTGCAACTGCGTGGCATCCGCTGGCCAGTAATTCAGCTGTTTTCTTTGACTTTCAGGAACCTCTTTGTTAAAACCTGCAGATGTGGGTTTTTTCTATGTGGCTAATGCTGCTGAATCAAGCAAATTTTCCCGCACCTGTGACTGTGATGACTGAGCATCCAGTGGCCTTTGCAGCGTTGTCCTCAATAAACTGTCTGACTGCGCGGGATCATCAGGAACGGAGCTGTGAACTTGCGGATCTTGTTCAGGGAACTGCAGGATATCTGCTTTTTTTGGATGAGCATTGCTTTCTGCTTCACTTTTTGGACAATCCTGAATTGCCTGTGAATCGTAAGTTCTTGGAAGATAACTGGTCGCGTATTCCTGCAGTGCAAATGGATATGGCACAGGATTGTTAACCGGCCACAAAGCTGGACGTGATGCTTGATAATCTGCAGGATTCTGAGAGACAAAACTAGCTTGTCTGGAAGCACTTGTTAGTAACGGATTCTCGAAATACGAATAGCGGATTGGATTCGCCGGTTGAGCATAGTGGTAATCAGGCACATTCCACTGACTGTATGTTCCGAACGATGGTTCCGGATTGCTTCGTGCACTATTCGTGGTACTCTGAAAACAAAGCTTTGTTACAGCTTATAGGATTTTTTGCTGCAGTTTTTTGTTACAGCTTTCATCAACTACAGTTTATTGTAACAAAAATTTTAAAATTTGATGTAACTACCTTTTTAATCTGGTGCAATTTATTGTTACTAACGACTGACTTGTTAATTTCAGCATATTTTTTTTACTACAGCTCATAGGTTTTCACTGCGGCTCACAGCAATGTATCTACCAACTTTCCAATTGCTTTGACCAATGCTGTATCGCCCAATAGTCAGCCTGCTGGTGACCCTGACGTTCGGTTTATTTTCTGATAAAAAAGAACCATTTCAAGAGTTTTTCCCACAAGAGCACTCTGACAGCCGTTTCGAGATGTCTGCAAAGCACTGTCTTGCTCATTCCTGGATTACGAGGAAACATAAGACATTAGCGACTAGGAGGTTCAACAAACGCATACCAAATTGTTCGCATCGGATAGGCAGATAATTGCGAAGAGTAGAAATGCCCCAAGCATAACTGTTATCGCACTCAGTTATGACTGAAAGTTGATAATAGACTTAGTTGTGCAAGTAGCACTGCAATTTCATGTCGTACACGGGCCAGAGTTTTTATTTAGAGGGAATAATCAAGAGGAAAGTTGCCATGAAGCCTCAAAAGTGAAAATAATATCGTTTTTGAATAAAAAATTTTGATAGAATCACTGCATAACAATTTGGTAGAATTACAGAACAGGCAAAATTGCATTTGATGGATTGTTTTCAGTGTATACAGAGATGCTTTAAAACAGTGTACAAGTGGTGATGTGCATAATCTGAGTGGCGAGTATGCGTTAGGCGAAGTGCTTTCAGGGATTTGTTGGTTTTCGGTCGCACGTAAAATATTGCACGAATAACCAACACTGGAAAATTTTAGTAAATGCTTTTTTCACATATACTGATGGAAACTTCAAAAAACATACGAATCCCTATCCGTAATTTGGTATCACCGAGATTATCTCCAAGTGTTGTCGGTGACAAAAGGCTGAAATTAGTTTTAGTAAGTCTGAATTTATATAGTAAGTGTGACAGGCCAAGATTTGCACTGCAAATTCTTTACTAAAAGGTTTTCGCGGTGGTACTTACAGCTTCAAATGGTCGCAACTGTTGCTGTAGAGAAATGGCCAATTTGTGTAGAAATGCTGCAACGAAAAGCATTTTTGAATTTTCCATCATCAACTTGTTTCCAAGCAACCCTCGAAATACATGGTCAACCTTGTGGATGATAGTTGTTGTTGGCGCTTGTTACCAATCGGCCCACTTCTGAAACCTTTCGCTTCTCACAGTGAGCGAAACCGAAAGAGACTTTGGCTGTTTAAGGCCCGCAAATTGAACAATTATTGAGGTTTTGAGATTTTTCGCTCTACAGTCTGTTTGAAAAATTTTTTTTGTCTGCCAACGGAAATATGTGGCAGATTAGCGGGTGTGGATTGACTGTTTATGGTTTTCAGCAAAAAAAGTCAGCGAGGAAGGAGCGGAGGAATGCTTGTTTATGCATATTTATTCTACGCAACCAAAACAGAGGCGATGTCTGATCCTTCTGGATTCCCTTACAAAAGTAAGTACTCCAGTTGGTCTGCAAATATGAAAATGATTACCATGCAATGCAATATTTGGTCAAAACAACCACGAAATGAGGAAGAAAGCAATTAAGGTTGTCGAGACGGTCGTTTGCTGTTAAAAATGTTTGCTGATTTACTGTCTGTATGTGCAAAACTCGACGGAATACAGTGATCGACCAAAATTTCCACTTATCCATAGGTGAGACCTAGACGTGCATGAAACCGTCATCTACGCAAAGCGGTTTTGAGGGATTTACGTTGATGGACCTTACGTGAGTCCTTCACATGAACTAATTTTTGGAAGTTGCGCGGGACCTGTTCATGCAATTTGTGCAAGGCTCGTTCGCGTAAAAATTTTTGTGAAAACGATGCGCTATATCAATCCGTTTGATATCTGACTGCATGCTGCTATGGCATGCAGTTCGATATTCATGTAAGTGGCCGCCCACGAAATTGTTTGCTTTCTGAAAACATGGCCAATTTACTAGAAATATGGTGTAATAAGACAAAACCGGAAACACCGAATCATTTTATTCCCGCTGCAGACACCAAAAACTATTATAAACTACAAAATTATTAGATAAAAAATAAAGCAGTATACACAATTACTAAAGTGCAGCATTATTGCAAGCCCCTGTAGCATTGAGTTTTTCCCACACATCTTTTTGCTCCAAACATCGTTGGACAGTTGTCTGATCTGGAACGTTCAGAATAACAATTACTTAGCAAGCATTTTGTTAACACTATAAAATGCTCTTAGGCTTAGGCATTTGTTCTGCTCACGGACGTGTAAAATGTTCAAACTGCAACACTTTCACGATCTTCTCCTTCCGTATAGTCAGGCAGGCTAAAAATTTGTTATTCAGAGAAAATGCTGCCATTGGGCCGTCCCGCAAATACATATCTTTTTACAGCCTAGCTCATCTATTCCTAACTCGGAGGATCTGGCATAGTTCACTTTATCAGGCAGCTGCATCAAAGAAACACGAAAAACCTGGCACCAACTGCCTAACTTCAACAATTTCTATGCTTTTGTCTGTAAATGATCAAGCTGACAGTTAAAACGCACTTTTCAAATTACTTTTAATCGCTACTGCCAAGCAAAAAAAAAGTTGGGGACTTTAATTCTCCAGGACAGTCAATTTTCTGCGATTCGCTTATTCATCTCAGTTTGTACTGGTACAGGTGCAACTGATGATAACTGTTATTGTCAGAATCCTAAATCTCACCACGGGCCATCCATACGTCTAAGCGAAATTTGCTTATGCCAAATCGTTCATTAATTTTCCCGTACGTTTCACCACTTGCTTTGAGATCCAGTGCTTGTCGCATGTCGTTTGCCGTCCACCTTGTCCTGCGACATTTTCCTAGTTTGCATCCCGGGAACTGTTTTTTCATTTCTGCAATTGCAGTTTTGTAACGCTTATCTAAATGTAGAAATGAGCTACATGTAGCAGCATCTCCATTTTTTTGAATTATAGTATATATAATACATCAGGCTGCGATGCATTGGATTTACCATGTGCAATCATGCGTTTTTGCGTCAAACTCGAAGAATTTGGATAGTTAACAGCATGAATGATTGCTGCTTTACAGTTTGACATGTGAATGATGTTAGCTTGTTCTGAACTTATCTCGCATTCAGAAGAAGAAGGCACGGATAGTATGGTGGTGTTGCATTACGGGGACGTGTAAGCTTCCTGCGTGCATGATTATCAGTTTTGCACGAAGAGAAATAAATAGTCTTCGGTGACCGGTCGTTCATCGGAAAATGCAAATTTTGTGATGAATAGAATATCGAAAAATAAAAAGGATCACGAAATCCGCAAAATGAATCTGAGGTTACGAATAAATTGAATTTTTTCACGTCCGTTTGTAGGGTATTTAGGTTTCAAGTTGAATTTAGATCGAACGTGAATACAGAACATCCTTGCAAAAATTCCAGCTTCGCAACTCGTCCACCACGTTAAATTTCCATTTCTTGACATGCGCTAAGGAGCGCCGCAAGCGCAAATCGAAGCTTAGTTTGGATATACTATTCGCCAGCGGACGATAAATATTACGGTAAAACTTCAGTTGTTGTTTTATGGATAGTTTTTGAAGTTGCGTGGTGCCAACTTGCAAACTTTAACTTGATCATATGCATTAAGTAAGTGTGTCGATAGCTGAAGTTAAAATAGTAGCGCACATAGACAGGGGACATCAATGTGAAGTTAAGTTCCATGTTGTAAAGACAATACGTATGGTGAGAATACGTTCGTAAGATTTCAGCTTTTTGGCTTCCTCGGTTCTCGAATTGAAGGAGGTGACAGAGTTTATTCGTCCACACGTATACACATACACATAATGCATGCATACACCGACAACTTCTTAACAGTATGCGCTTTTGCAATTGCGTAATATGCAAAAACGCATATAAAGTGTAGCAACCTAAAACACAAGATCCTATACTAAACTTTTACCAATTACTGTAATATGTGAAATGGAAGAGCTACTAATATCACAGTTACAAGGTACTTTAGCCTTAATGTCCATCCATCTGAATGTTTCTCTTTCTTTGCCTAAATAGCAAACTGTAGAATGAACGAAGTACCATTTTTTCTACCACGGGTATCACATAAGCAAAAAGGTTGAGGTTTGATGCGCCTCAGTGATAAACTATTGTGCTTTCAACCAGTTAGAGGTTCTAAATATCTTAGGGTTTAGTAGTTCGAAAGGGAGTGAAACAACCAAAAGCTCGAGAATCAAGAAAGACTTGCCGCGTGCTGAAATGTGAGGCAGATTGGAACCAAAGCCACCGCTGCACTCCGGCAGCTTTCTGTGGTTATCTGTGTGCTTCGTTGAACTTTTTGATTTCTTTCCTCGTGCTTCTTTTTCGGATTGTGACAGTCGCATCGCCTGAATAAGGTCTTTGAAGCAAAGAAAGAACTTCCAAATTTTTCATGCTTAATTTTGCCACAAGTTTGTCTATTTCCTCCTGAACGTGAAAGAAAAGACCAAAAAGAATTTCCAGTGTTTTAAATTGTGAAAGTTACCGTTGGTATGAGTCACTGAATGAATATATCAAGAGCACTCCCGAATTTACCTGCCACTAAAAATCTTACTGCTGCACGAAATGGCGCAAGAAAGTATGATCACGCCGGTGTTTATTGTGCACGATACTATTTGTTTCAATAGTCCAAGAATTTTCCACCCCCTCTCAAAACCTGATTTTACAGGCAAACGTTTGTGAGACCCCGTCTTTTCTGGGATACCTGAATAGCGTTTGAGTCATACAAGCTGAAAAACTGATTTTTTTTTTCCAAAAATCAGCAATGGCTAAGGATAAAGAATACCTGCAAAGCTAAACGCTTTGCAAGCATGTCCTTCATTTGCTTCCTCCAATCCACTGGCTGTGGTTTTTCCGGCAAGCTTTGAATCGGCTTGAATGTTGATAGACAGCTAGGATCAGCTATATGCGTCGCTAATGAATCAAGCTTTGCGCTTTGGATCTGCTATAAGTGAGGAACAGAACAAGCAAATTAAAAAATTTTTCACAACTGCCAGAGTTTCAAGGTTTTTATGCGTTTCTTGCAGCAATGCAATGCATATTGAAAAATGCATATTGACGAGAGTATGTGTGTTTGTGTATATGTCTGTGTGTGCGCTGCGCGTCTGTACCGATTTTTCATCTCGAGACCAGCGAAAGCTACGGGGCTGAAACTTTGAGGACTTAATCTACATGCACGTACGGGTCCCTATCCCCAAAATGGGCAGTCTTTCTCGCGTGGTACCCACGTAAGGCCCCGCCAAAGTTTTTTACGGGTAAGCTGATAACTCGCGGAGCAAAAAAGCTAGAGAGCTGAAATTTTATGGGAATGTTCCCTGTCCAAGTAGGTACTAATGAACTTAAATCCAGCCCCCGGGTAAGCGTGGTA